GAAGCCAGCCCCGCGGGCGGCGTAGGCAACAGACCATCCAGGTTGTGAAACCAAGCTACGTTCAGTTCAAGCACAGTGCAGCTGCTGTGGAACTAGGGCTTAAGGGTTTGAGCGAGCAGAAGGAGGTACCGAGAAAACTCTACCGGTGAAAACGCCTGCTTAGAGAACGTGGGTGCCTCCAAGGCACCTGACGAGGGGATTAGAGGATTTGAATTACAGCGCAGAATATGGCAGCAGGGCTTCTAAATTACTTTTTGCCTACCTTCCTCCTGGCCAAATCCCTCTAAATGTAATTACAACCTGCCCTGCTAAATTGCCCTTTCAGGTTTACCCACACACGGCTCGTTTCCTGAAGCACAGCACAGTATGAAATTCATCTGTCAGACTTGTACTGTGCTAGCACTCGGGGCAGAAGGCTATTGCTAGGACCACCGCCTCCCAGGGCTGCAGCATGGCTCCACACCAACCTCCCTGCAAAGCACACTGCACTCCCGATGCAGAACGGCGTTACAAAGCATCTTATATCCTCCTAGGTACCTTTCCCAATAACCCGTCAACCACCCACAGCTTCCCAGGCCGGCTGATCACAGCCAGCGGCAAGGGGAAGTTTGAGGCATTCCAGGCAAAACCAAAGTCCTCCAAGGGATCAACAAAAACATAATTAGTCCAAGCTGCCCAGTCCATGTTTGTCCCAGTGGTACAAGTGACCTGTGGAAGCTGGGCTCCCACTGTTTTCAGTCTCTTTCACAGTCCTACAAAAAAAAGGGCAGCTGCTGTCCTATGTGGGTTTGGATCCAGCAGCTGCCTGGGTTGCAGAGGGACATGAAGAGAGGCAGAGGAGCTGTATCCAGGATTCAGGAAAGGGAAAGACACGGGAAAAAGACATGTTCATGTCCCTGTGACAGCAGAGCCAGCACCATACGCTGCCTCCTTGTTACCACTGTGCAGATCATACCAGACTTTGCTTGATTCCTTCTCAGTCTTTTCTCACTATCCTGCAAGATTCACTACAAAAAAGCAAATCACTCAAACGGTGATGGAGAAATGTGTGTGAAACAGGAGAAAACCCTCTGCCCCAACACTTGAATTAAGCAGACGGCCTTCTCCTGCCTTTCCAAGAGAGCTGCTTCCCCCTTCCACTGCAGTCATTCATTTTCTTCCCCCGTTGCCCTCCCTGCTAGCACACCCTACACGCTGCCATGCTGCCACAATTGCCTCCCCGCACCACATGCGCCACTTTCAATCATCCTGATGGTGATCCCCACCCCACAAGCATCTCAGCCTCAGCCAAGCCTCTAACAGTTCCCTGCAAGGTCAGCCCAGCATCTCCTCTTTTCTGCTCAGAAGACACCTAGTTCCCTGACTCTTCAGATTCTCCAGGGACAAGATAATTTTGAGCACTCTTCCCTTTCCAGAGCAGATACCACCTTCTGGGCAAAGACACCTCGCACTCTATTCCCTATGCAGAACAAGGGCAGGAGGAGCCCTGCATTTTCACAGCATTACCACTTCAGTTTTGCAAGTGCAGTCTAACATTTGCCATCTACTAATAAATCCCAGCACCTTGTCCATAGTACAGTACAGGCTCACCCTCTTAGGGCTGGCCCCAAGCCTTCCCCCCCTGCCCCCCCATGCTAAATGGGTGCAAAGCCCTGCTAGGTGAGCAAGGGAGCAGAGCCGTACGGGGCAGGGCAGCGCTGCCCGCAGCAGAGTTCGGGGGGCAGCTGCCCGCACCCAGCTGGCCCTCGTCGCTGGAAGCACCTTACACACACAAGCCTTGAAAGCTGACCGCGTGCCGGTGGGTGCTCTCTGCCATTAAGGGGCTCGTGCGCCTGGAGAGGAGGCTCCCAAGCTCTCAGCGGCGCTTCCTCATGCCTGCAAAACACACCGCCGAGCCCTCTTTGCTATTCTGCCCCCATCACATCCTGTTATTCCCAGAGCCTTGCCAGCAGTTCAGAAAACAGCACAGAAAACCCAGAAACCGAGTTTACTCGTACTACCTGGGTAATGTGGCCTGCTGGCAACTTACACGAGTGACAGGAACCCTCCTGCACAGAATCACCGCTTGCCTTCATTAAATCAATTCGTTAATTACAAGAAAAGCACAACCCAGATAATTTAACCCTTTCGTTTGAAGGCCCCAAATCCCTTCCAAGGGGAGGCCTGTAGGTAAGTGTCAGAAACAAGCAGAGAGCTCTGTAGGCAAGCTTCAGCAGAGCCCCGAACAGAGAAGTCGGCTCTGGTGTAGGAAGGACAAGCTGAAGTTGAAGGGGTCTTTCTCCTAGGAGAAAGTCGCTTTTACTCCCCTGTCCCTCCAAGAGTCAGCACCAGAACGCACACGTTGTTCCTGCAGAAACACAGCCAGAGCACGGGGTAGCAAAGCTCTGCTCTAACCCACGACCCCAGCAAAGGGCACAGCAAAAGCACCCAGTTACCCACCCTCAGAGCTGTTGGCAGAGCAGCTCACACTTGCCCGCAGGTACCCAATTCAGCTCAGATAAGCCAGATTTGCAGAGACCCATTATTTACATTGCCTAAGCTTTGGGACCTATTTGAGCTGGAAAGGGTTAGGGAGTGCTGACAGGGGCACTGGGGCCGGCTGACCTGAAGCAGGCAGGACCTCCAGCACAGCTCCAGCAGAAAAGGCACATACTTTTGCAGCACCAGGCTTCCACACGCTTTGAAAGTGTCTCCACAGCGATGTTTCATCTTCAGGGCCCAAATACCTCGCTGCAGGATGACTAGCTCCCGGGTCCAAGCTATTGGTACCCGAGGTCCTGTGTTCTGCAGCCAGAATTTGCGATGATTTCACCTCTGACTGCAGAGCTTTGCTCCGGAATCTCGCCTTTCTTTTCAAAGGCAATACACTTCTAACCTTATGTTTCTACAGGGATCTCTGACAATATAAATTGTTCAAGTACAGCTATACTGTAAGCTGCAACGTTGCATGCAGATATTAGAGCCAGTCCCACCAGAGAGAACAAGAGTTACCAGAAGCAGTCTGGCACGGAGATCTCAACACAACCTGCAATGTAGATGTACAATGAATATTAACAGTGATAATACTACACTGCTGATCTTTGCAAAAGCATCAGCTAATTCAATAAATGCCCTAAGAGAAGTGACCTGAGAAACATAATATAATAAAAACCAAAGGAATCAAGATTATACAAACCTCACAGCAGAATTATGGAGTCTTACCACCACACTTGTTCTTTTTCAGTTTCCTCTATAGCTGTTCCATGTTAGAGTTAAGTCTTTTCTTATTTTGTGACAAACTTCATACAGTGCAATAATATAAGGGACCCCCTGACGATCCAGGTGGCTGATTCTTTAACATGAGCATAGACTAAGTATTTGGTGAGTAATCTAGATACAGAATGGGGAGGGAGGAATATGACCGGCTACACAGAGGAAACTTACATAGGGTTTGAGAACCTTATTTTATTTATAATCACAAAGGCCCTGATCAGCATCACCTTCAATGCAAAGAGATCTCTGAGGACCCTGAATATTAAAACGTGCTCTTGAGAAGCCATTTTTATGTCTGTGGCTGACAGCCTTGGTAACAACATCTAGGCGAACAGATCTGGTATCCCAACTTGCCCAGATAAAATTGAGAAGATCTTTGTTGCAGGTGAAAAGACAAGCATCGTCCAGATCTGTCTTCAGAAAAAATGAAGTGTGGCTGAGTTTCAACTATGAAACATCTGGAGAATGCCAAAAGTTTTTTCTTAGCACTACTCTGATCTGAGAAATCAGGTCTGCTATATTTGTGGCCTCCAGGCATGGAAGTGCCATCTGAAACATGAACATAAGGACTGTCTAGACTCTGGAAACAGTTTGAATAAAGTCATCTAGAATTTAGCTAAGAACATTTAAGGAAAACTAGCATTAGGGTTCAGGGGCTGGAGCAGGTCATGCTCCAGAGCGAAATGAGAGTGGCATGTTATCCTGCTGGGATGAGAGGACTTGCTCAGGGAGAGGCAGCTCTGCTTGCCCGCAGCCACTGGGAGCGGAGCTCTGCCTTGCCTGAAAGTACTGCGCACCTACCTCTGCTCCTGCCTGCTTGCTCCAAGTGCTACGGACTGGAGATCCAGAAAGTCATGCATTTTGAAGTCAAAAGGGACGAGGACACAAACACAGCTTAGCTTCCCGTAGCCCTCCAGCCGCAGGAGTTCCTTCTTATAATTCTCATTCCAAAGCCCACGCATACACACAGCTGAGACAGCTCTGACACTTTCCTTAGCTAAGCCTCCGTCATGGCTCTTAGCTGAGTTGTACAAGGGAAGAGCAGCCTCAGTTCAGGGATT